GAGAAGGTTTTTTAGAATTTTTTGATCGTTTTTAGGGTTTTAGATTTTATTCAAAAGATAATAATAAAATAATAATATTATTTTATTAAAAAAGAAGATTAATAAGAAAATGAAATAAAGAATGAAATATGAGGGATATTAAAAATAATTAAAAGAAGTATAAACTTGTAAATTTTATAATTAAATAATTAAAAAAATGAAAAGGGTTTTCAAAGAATAAAATGATCTTAATAAAGTGACAATCCACTCAGAATGGGAAGCTACTCTATTTACAACGCTCATCCAAGAAACTATGGAAATGGTTCAAGAACTTGTAGAAAATGTGGAGCCCGTAAAGGTCTTATTAGAAAATATGGACTTGATTTATGCAGAAGATGTTTCAGAGAAAAGGCTGTTGAAATTGGATTCCAAAAACTTGATTAAGTTAAATTAATTGATGCGTTTGATTTAATAGAAAGTAAAAGGTATTTATTTAACTCTTTTTAAATAATAAAAGAAAAAAAGAAGATTTAATAATTATTTTATATTAATTTATTTTTATTTCAAAACTCTTCTTCTTCTTCAATTTCTTTTTCTTCTTCTTTAGTTATGAGACAATCATCTGAAGAAGAAGAATTATTTTGACTTTTCTTAAGTTCATTTATTTTTGATTTTACGTAATAAGTTATTCCAATAATTAAACTTATTGATATTACGGTTGTAATAATCATCATTGTTAAAGCTCCTCCAGACATTCCATCTATTTACATTAAAATTTTCATTTCATTTAAAAAAAAATATAATAACAAAACTTGAAGAAAATACTTCAGTAATATTTGTCATTGAAGCAGAGAAATAAACAACAACAAAATTACATGGAATTAATCCAATCAAAGTCCCAATGGCATATGGTATAAAATCAACAACTGGTGGAAGAATATAATTAATAATAGGAAATGGAAATACTGGTGAAACACGAAGAAGAGTAATAAAGATTAAACCATTTTCTTTTACAATAAGTTGCATTAATTTTAAATTTTCATTTTTATTGATATATTCATTTATTGTTTCTAATACAACAAAACGAGTTATAAAGAAAACAATAATTGCACCAATTGTACATCCTATAGTACTTATTATTGTTCCTAATACAGTTCCAAACATAATTCCAGCAACAATAGTAATTGGTGTTGTAGGAATCATAAAAGGAACAGCAATAATATGTAATATTGTTATAATAATACTTGAAGTAATAATATCTAAATTTTGAATTATTTTAAATATTGACATTAATACTTTTGGAATAGGTGAGTCAGGAAGTAAAGATAATAAAAATACACTTCCAATTATTACTGCAAAACTAATAACAATATATTTCTTGATTTTACTAAGAGTCTCAGTGGATAAAGACATATTTTTTTATAAAGAAGTTCTTTTTATTTTTTTATTTTAGAATTAAAAATAAAAAATAAAAAAATAAAAATAAATTGAAAAAACAAATTCAAGTCAAACAAATATTAATATTGGGTGAAATTTAATTGTCTTTTCTTTCTTTTTTTCCTTTTCTACCCATAACTATTTCATATAATGAAGCTTTTCTTGTCCTCCCTCGTTTTTTAGGAACTTCTTCTTTTACAGATGGTAATAAACATTCAACTTCTTTTTTTGGTTTTTCATTAATTTTTAATTCTGGGAGAACTCTAGTAACCGTTGGTAATCCTTTTTTTTGAAGAATAGAATTTAGTGTATTTAATAATTGTTCGTTTTTAGTTCTTTTATTTTGTAATTGACATTCATAACTTTGATACTCATTTTGAATTTGTTGTAATAATCTACGTTGTTCAATACTTGCTTTAATGTTATGTTCCATTTGTCTATTATAATATAAGCAATATTTATTGATACTTTCAATAACAGAATGGAAAATATGATAATCATCTAATACATAATGTTCAACATTAATAATATTCAATAATTTATCAGATACTCTTGGTGGTAATGAATCAATAACTAACTGTATATTTTCTTTAATCATTTTTATTAATTCTTTATGAAGAGAATTTTGTTTAGAAAGTGTTTGTGGTTGTTCTTCATAAAGATTTTCATTAATTAATTGTTTAATTAATTGTGAAGTTGGATCATTTAATCGTTGTTTAATAGCATAAATATAAGCAAAAGTATTTTCTTTTGTAAGTTGATGAATGCCATTAATTGTTTCTTTTACAAACGAGAATTTATGAATATTTGACAAATAGATATTTTTTTCAATAGAATAACAAATGATAGAAGGGTTATCTAATATAGGTGCAATAGTAATTTGAAAAAGAAGAATAGACATAAACCCATTTGTTACATTATTATAAGGTATTAGTCTATTTATTATTTTTTGCATTAATATGTTGAAATGAGGAGGTAAATATTCAATCTCTTTTAATATATTTTTATTTAATAAATCAATAATTTGAATTAATAAGTCTAATGAATGTTTAAAATTGTCTGTTGTTTGTTTGGTTTCATCTTCATTTGTTTCATTATTTGTTCCTTGAAATACAGAAATATTGAGTGTACTATTAACAATTAAATCTAACACTGGAGTTAATACATGTTTTAAATAATCTATAAGAAATAATTTACTGTATTCATTATAAAAAGTGATAAATAATGATAATCTACTTTGTAATGGAAAATATTTGGTTTCAGGTGCTAAAAGAAAAATAAATACTTTTTCTTTATAATTTCAATAAGTCACAAACGGTTTTCTGTTAACTCTTTTTCAAACATCCATAATAATAATTCTAAAACCTTTCCATGTGCATAATAATACTGTAATATTAAACTAGCATTACTCCCAGATTTACTTACATTACGATAAATTAGCTTAATATATTAGTCTTCATTTATTTATTATTTATTCTAAAATTGAGTCTCAGAAATTAAATACATAAACAAACAGTTTGTGAGAGTGCCTCTAATAAGACATGATTATTAGAAAATAACATTTCATCAAATTCAAGTTTTTCAGTAAACGAATAAGAGGTATCTTCACTAACACTCATCGAAATGTTTTGAAAGTTCAAACAAAGGTATTTCTTCCATTTTTCTTATCTTCTTTCATTATTCTATTATTGGAAAATATTTGAAACGTTTTATTTTGGTGAATGTTTTAAAAATACATTTTAGTATGACTTATCGAATCATATTTTCTCTTGTTAGAAAATATATTTTTTTTTATTTAACTAATTTATTAAAATTGTAAGAAGATAAGATAATATTATCATTTCACTCTAAAATCTGATCATTCATGTCATCTTCAGATTGTTTTCATAGACAAACAAGATGAAACAACACATCTCTTTAATTGTTATAAGACAATAGAAAAATTCTCTCAAAATTTAAATTTGATTAAGAGTATTTTCAACAAAAAACTCAATAATTCATTTCGTATTAAATGGAGGAAGAAACACACACAATCCGTTGCCTTTTATGTAAAGAAATTCAAGATGCTTTTGTTCAATTAGTTAAAACAATTTCAAAAATAAGTCCAGACCTTCGTTGGATTTGGAGAACCAACACCTTCGAAATGAAAGCAACAACTTTGAAATCAACTGCTTTTCTTGAATACCTTTTTAAACCTGTTTCATTCAAGGAATTCAATGGACCATCTGAAGATAATATTATTTTTGTTAATTCTAAACGAGTATTATCTGCATGTACAATGTTTGATAAAGCTGAAAGTGTAGAAATGGTATTACAACAAACCAAGTTGATATTTAACATTGTCATAAATCAAAACACATCCATATCAAGGACCATTCAATTGGATGAGCAAGAAGAAAGTATGGACAGAGAGCCAACTTATCAAAACCATGCCCAGGTTAAAGGATCTGCATTGGTATTTTGTAGTGCATTTAGTTCTTTTCCAAGAGATACAGAATTTATAAGTATTCTTATTAATGAAAATCAAGTAGAATTTCATTCTTATAATAAAACCAAATTAAACGAAAAAAGAATAAACTCTCATGTGATAGCAACAGCAGATAAATTTGAAGGAATCAAATTCCCAACTCCAAATGGAATTGGAGATGTTGCAAAAGTTACAGTCCAATTTAAAGATTATAAACATATTATGAATCTTGCAAAAGTTCTAAGTACATCACCTAACCTTCGTGTAAAAAGTGTTGAGGATGAAGGTTATATTGATTTTAATTATTTTAATTATATTTCTATTAGATTTACTATGGCTGGACTAATAGAAGAAGATGACACTACAACTCAAACAACATCAGGAACAACCACAACAAATACAAATGACCATCAAAGAAGAAGGTATGTTGAAGATGAACCAGTATCTGAAGTTTCCATTAGCAATATTACTAGAAGTATGGTTTAGAAATTAATCAAAGTTAGTATATATTTATTATTACTTTTGTTTCATTTTTCTTATCAGTTAATAAAAATACAATAAAAAAGATTTGATTACAGTTAATGGTTGATTAAACTTGAAAATAAACAATATTATTAAACAATGACTATTTTATACAATAATGATATAATATTTTGATGGATATGATGGTAAATATTTGAAAAAGAAGAATATTTATTTGATAAAATGAAAGCAATCTTCATACTGTATTTGTTTTAACAAGATATCAACACTCTCTTTACACTATATAATATTTTAGTTAACTTTAATAATATACGATTATATTAATTAATACTTAAATGTCAGTACTAATCAAATCTATGATGAATCTATGAGAATTAATGTTTAATTGATTGAGTTAATTTGTTTATCATATCTTAATCAATAATTTAAGTTTTATATTATATTGGTTAATATTTGATTGATAATATTATTTTGTATAAATTAAAGTAACATACATTATCAAAAGAAAAAAAGAAAAAGAATATATGAACATAACAAAATTATAATGATAACAGAAAGAATAAAAGAGAAAAAGAAAGATAAATAATACATAAAAGAAGTAAAAATAACAAATAGATTAAAGTATTAATTATGAAATGGATTTTAAATTTTAATATAACAAAAGAAATATTTAAATAAACCAATTATTAGAAAGAATATTTATGTATTATTGTGAATAAACAGAAAGAATAATGAATAATTCAATAAGTTTGATTGGATAGAAACAATGGCATAACAAAATAATAAAGATTAATGTAATTACTTCATTATTGTTTTTTTTTGTATCTACTTATTTTATCTATTTTTTTTTTCATTATTCTATTTCTTATTTTATTTTATTAACTTCTTCTTTCTTTACCTTTTTATTCTTTTAAGTCTCTTTCTAATATTTATTATTTATTTGTTTTTGAGATTTTTTTTATTTCTTATTTTATATCTTTTTTCTATTCATTTAATTATTTCATCTTTCATTTTAACTATTTCTTATTTAATTAGTGATAAAGAAATAAATAGAATGAAGAAATGATAGAAAATACAATATCAGAAAATTAAAGAAGAATAAAATCAGAAACAAGAAATTCATTAAGTTATAGAAAATGCATAAAATGAAATAGATGTAATTCAATCAATTTACAACACAATGATATTTCCAATTATGAAGAGAGAAATAGGAATTAAATAAAAGAAATAATACTTAAAGAATAAAAGAAAATGAATAATAAATAAGAACATAAAAATAAAATGAATAAATCAGAAAAGAAAGCAAACATCTAAACAAACAAACACACAAAATATTAAGAGAAAAAGTCAAAGAAAAGAATATAAATAGACAAAGTGTGATGTTGGAATAAAGAAATAATCATTGAAATAATTGAAAGTTAAAAAAGAAGTATATTAAGAATAAATAAATGATGAAAAGATATAAAATGGATATAACAAGATATAATGGAGGAGTCATATCTCCATTAACACCAATTCAAAAAGAGATTGAAATAAACGAAATAAAAAGAAGAAATGAAGTAAAAGAAATGATATGAAAGAGAATAAATAATTCAA